TTTGTTCTTTAAAGTGATCAGTTATATAGATTGATTTTTTTTCTTTTTTTTTTTCTAATTGCTCTGGTTAATGTTTGCAGAGCTGTATTGAACAGGAGTAGTGACAGTGGGCATCCTTGTCTTCCTGATTTTATTTTTTTAAGAAATTTTTATTTATTTTAATGTATTTAATACAGGGTCTCACTATACAGATCAGACTCTTAGTGATCCTCCTGTTTTCAACCTCTCAAGCATTGGGATTATAGGCGCACACCACCATTCCCAGTTTCAGTCACTGTCTCAGCACACCCCAGGAGCAGGGCCAGCACGGCAAGGCATGCCAGAGATCGAACCCCGGTCCCTATATCTCCCTAAGCAGGGGCTTTAATCCTCTGAGCTATCTGGCTGGCCCATTCTTCCTGATTTTAAAGTGAAGGCTTTCAATTCTTGTCCCTTTAGTATGATGTTGGCTGTTGGTTTGTCATAGGTGGTTTTTATCAGGTAAAGACCATCTATTCTGTTTTTCTGTAGTGTTTTTATTGTGAATGAGTGTTGGAATTTGTCAAAAGCATTTTTGGCATCTGTTAACACAATCATGTGATTTTTGTCTTTGGCTCTGTTGGGGTAATGTATCACGCTTATGGTTTTGCATATATTAAACCACCTTTGCATTCCTGGGGTGAATCCCACTTGGTCATGATGTGTAATCTTCTTGATGATTCACTGTATACCATCTGCTAGTATTTTATTGAGGATTTTCGCATCTCTGTTCATTAGGGAGATTGGCCTATAGTTCTCTTTTTTGGTTGGGTCCTTCTCTGGTTTTGGTATCAGAGTAATACTTGCTTCCCTGAATGAGTTTGGGAGAATTGCTTCCCTTTCAATTTCATTGAGTTTGAGAAGAGGTGGCATTAAGTCTTCCTTACATTTCTTATAGAGTTCAGCTGTGAATCCATCTGGAGTTGGGCTTTTCTTTATTGGTAGGATTTTTAAAATTACATTTTCAATTTCACTGACTGATACTGGGTTATTCAGAATTTTTATATCTTGATTCAGCTTTGGTAGTTCATATGTGTCTAGGAATCAATCCATTTCTTCTGTGTTTTCCATTCTGTGAGCATAAAGATTTTGGGAATAAATGTTGATAATCTTCTGAATTTCTATAGGGTCTGTAATGATTTCACCCTTTTCATTCCTCATTGCATGAATTTGATTTTTTTCCTTCCTTTTTTTAATGAGGTTGGCTAGGGTTTAACAACTTTATTTA